CTTTGGGGAAACAAATAACACCCATGTCTAACAAACCAAAACATTCAAGATTCAAAAACCTTCATTTAATACGAGGAGATTTTCTGTGCAACACTTAAGACACAGGGTGAACACTAATAAAAAATGCAGGTAAAGTAGAGGAAAGTAGTGATTGTAACTGTAAAATTAAAGGAGCTTTGGGGAAAATCCAACAAGAAAATACAATAAGAAATCAAAACATTTAAAAAGCTTTATTTATCCCATGAAAAATTGACGTGCAATTCTTGCAATACGGGGTGAAAATGAATAGATAAATGCAACTAAAGTAATGAATGCAACTAAAGAAGTATTAAAATCTAGTTCAGACTAGTGTCCTGTTAGAAATGTGTTTTAATTAGGATTTACCTGAAGTGTGAGATGGAGATGATGACCAGCAGGTTCAGAGTCACAGTGAGCAGAGAGAAGGAGGACAGACTGATGAAGATGAGGACGGATGTTGAGGGAGGATATGTTATCTTCCTGCAGGAACTGTTCAGGAGTTCTGGAAAGCAGAGTTCAGCTCCATCCATCATGGGGAGCTGATCTTCACTGACAGCGTTCCCTGAACATCTCAGTGTTTTATAGAGTAGTTTGCTGCTGTAACATTGTGTGTTTCATGGAGACAAAGATCCATCCCTCTTGATATGTTGCCATGGACATGTTTACTCCTCACTTGGGAAGGATATCACATGATATGTTGGAGACACTTTCCTGGTTAACTGAGATGGAACCTGTGCAGTTTCAATGGTCTTTTGCATTCAGAGTTCTCACTTCCCAGGGGAAGAAGCTGGGAGAGGAGAGTGTTGTCCAAACTGAGATCCATCATGGACAACACCTCTCACCCCCTGCATCGGACTGTAGAGGAGCTGAGCAGCTCGTTTAGTAAAAGACTCAGACACCCTGTGTGTAAAAAAGAGCGATACCGCAGGTCTTTCATCCCTGCTGCTACCAGACTGTACAACGCTGGAGGTGTGGAGCCATTGTGGGGCGTGATTTCAGGTCTGTCCTATGGTCTTTGAAGGGTCATGAGGCGTTCCTGGAGTGGGAAGTTCTATGCTTCCAGCTGGTGAACCGACTGAGATGTTTTTCATGGATATAACTCACTGTGAAGCATTTGTTTTTAGGACGTCTTTAACCGGCCTTACTTACTCTATGTAAATGTGTAGCAATGTAGCAACACAATTGGGGTTTATTCTGCAGTCTAACGAACGTAGTGTGTCCATGGCCGAGGTTTATGTGAGTCCAGAAAGATTGTTGCCTGTTTTACAGTCAAGGAGCTCCTTTTTTACATTATAAAAGAAGGAGGTGATTACAATTTATGATTCCAGATTAAATTCAAATCAAAACTCCCTTTTTTATCTAAGGTCCTTGAAAAATTAGTTTATATTCATCTTGAAATGTTTTTAAAAGACAATAATATAACTGAGACATTTCAGTCCGGGTTCAAAGCTGCTCATAGCACTGAAACAGCTTTGCTTCGAGTGTATAATGATCTTCTTTTAACAGTTTATTCAGGCAATGTCGCAGTTTTATTACTTTTAGATCTGAGCGCAGCATTTGACACTGTAGACCATCAGATTCTCTTACATAGACTAAAATATTGTGTTGGCCTGAGAGGCCCGGTACTTTCATGGTTTAAGTCTTATTTAGAAAACAGAACTTTCTCAGTTCATTTAGACCAATGTTGTTCTGAGGCTAAACCTTTAAAGTACGGTGTCCCCCAAGGCTCAATTTTTGGTCCCATTTTGTTTATTTTGTATCTATTACCTCTTGGTCAGATTTT